AAGATTCTATCTCATTTTTTACTTTATGTGATTGACTTTAGTAAACAAGTGACTACCTTTTATTATAAGTACGATACCCTCTCAGTTTAACTTGGGTTATGATAGTTGTTTTCGCGAATTAATTACAAGAGAATTATGCAAACACAAAGTTTGGGGTGTGAATCAGTTTCTAGAGATTTTGAGATCTATAAAACCTATCCTTGAGATCAATAACTAGTGACCGTTTCGATTACTGAAACTTGTATATGAATTGAAATTTATTATTTTTTAATAAAACACTGAGTATAATTAAGAAAATAGTGTTTCTCTACTGCCATATAAAAATCTAATATAGTGTTCGGTGAAATGTAAACTGTGTTCTTTACAGCAATTTTACAAAACCGCCTTCGAATTACCACTACATATTTTATAGTAATATTGTACGTATGTTCATATAACTAGTATACTATTCCGTATAATAATATCTATTCTATGTTACGACAAAACACAGACAGAAACCAGACAACAAACATCTGGGGGCACAGCTCGGATTGGCTAGACCCGACCAATTTAGAAAGTTCGTTATACAAAGCTACGTACTTGTACATAATGCCACCCTTCACAAAATGGAACTTGCTAGCACTAAACTCTACTCTCTGTAACGTGGTGCGGGTGACAGCTCGGAAATTTTAGCACTTTTTACTGTAGAATGAACTGTAGTGTATGTATTTAGTTCTAAACACAACATATAGTGACAATTTTATAGTCACAGTATACGTAATAGCTTCAATATTTATTGTTACAATTATGTACAATCTCACTGAAAAAGACTTATAGTTATTTTGTGACATTTTCTCGAGTTGAGCAACATTTAGATTTTACTTATCGTAAGTGTTTGTAATACATTATGATATTATGAATAATAATTATATAATATTATTATTCACAATCAATTGTTTTGTATAATACAGAGAGTTTACGTTAACAATATAAATATATGAATGTACTACTAAGTACTACTGCCAGTTTATTCAGTACTTTTTCATAGAAATCTGCATGTAGTAAATACCTACTACAGTAGTGACGTCTAAATGTCAATTAATTACCTCAAATTATTTGTATTATTCAACATTAGCAAAATAAATAAAATAAATATATAATCCTGGACAAATCAAAGTGTCTAGTCCCAAACAAAGTATTAGAATTTATGCTATTGGTATTAGGCAACTAATTACTGATAACTATTAGATATTTAAATATCTGTATATTGTAAGTGTATATCCATAGAAAACGCATAGATATACTTTTGAAAAAAAATATTTATATTATGCCAGAATCAAAGCCGCGACCATTAAAAACAGGGTCGGAGTGTTGAACCTATACAGCACTGGTTAACTGGGCAACATTTTTCTGATGTTAGTCTTATGTCTAGTTTAATTTCGACATATTCTTCTCTGAATTAACTATGGAATTGATGCCATACTTTCTTCTTATATTTTGAAAATAACAGACAGTGATCGAACAATGTATTCTTAGTTCGTTCCCATACGATGAATTAATCTTTGTTATTATTAATGATTATTTAAAAATATGATCACTGTCTTCATGTTTTGTAGTATCACTTTCATATATATTGTAGTTTTGTAAAACTTTCATTCATTGTCTATAATTTTTAAGTATTATTTAAAATACTCACAAATAAAAAAATATTTATTTAAATTTTGATTACAGCATAGAATAAAAATAATTTCTGGTTTGGGAAAATATAACACGTTATGTTTTTTATTTTTAGGTAAGTATTGTACAATGCAGGCCCCCTCCCGCTTATGCCAATACCATTCTCGCAATTTCGCACCTGGATTCGCCAGAGATCCACCGAAATACAAAACCAAAGATGGAACCTAACCACTGATTGCAAACAATCTAAAGTGGCAATTCCAAAAACGAACCATCGGTTAACAACACGTCTACTTAATCTAGATAGACAAAACCTCAAAATAATGATAGGGACAATAACGGGCCATTGTTCCTTAAACAAACACTTATACAAAATTGATGCTACAGACAGCCCCCTTTGTCGGGGCTGTTTTGAAGCTGAAGAAACGGCGGCTCACGTAATCCTGGAGTGCACGGCAGTGGCCCAACAACGAAAACAAATCCTCGGAACGGTGAGGTCGCTCCGTGAAGCCTGCGAAGACACCAGGAGTCTTCTGCGCTTTTGGGAGGAGCTTGGCTGGCTACGTTAGTAGTCTGGCTCTACACGCACAACGGCCCGAATGTGAGGCTAATTGCGGAGAATGGAGTCCAACATACGATACGATACGATAGTATTGTACTAAATTTATTTGATCGCATTGGTTTATTTTCAAGGCTACCCGACTGCTCACTACCGGTAAGTTTTGTACTACATCGCATTACACTACACTGCACTATACGATGGTATTCCTGTAATTACACTATGCTACTATTTTTTGTCTACTACACTATATATCGTATAAAGAACTGTCACTGTAAGATTTTAAAATCCAGTTTCTGTTAAAGGAGCAGGAAGGTCATTACGATATTGTTATTATTAGATAGTAATTGCTGGCAACAAAGCAAATACTTTCGATTACTATACCAATTTCCTGATCCTTTTAAAATGTTGTTAGAATTATCACATGTGCACACCTGGAACTTATTAAAATTCTTCAACAGTGGAATAAAAATGTGGTTTGTTAGGGATAAATGGATAATAAATAAAATTAAATTTTGAGTACAATTTTATTTCAAATGTCGTAAAATGATATCAACATCTTAGGTTAACATTGATAAATAGTTTGCATTCATGCTAATAAATGAGTTGACACGATAATAACTATGTACAAATATGGCTACTATGATTGTATTGTAATATTTATTGTCATGAATTCATGAAACATATGTAACATTATATATATTACAAAACTAAGTAAATTAATGACTCAATTCATACCAATCTTTCTCGCTCACTTCTTATTGATTTATTATTGTCCAATAAAGAGAAGACAAGCTTATACATACAAATATTAAGTTACATATCTTGTTATTGTCATACAGAATTATATCTGTTGTCTCAATAAATTGGTGTAATGGCATTCCAGGTGCAAATTATTATAAATACTTGGGTTGTATATAAATATATTAGAATAATAATAAAATAAAAAGAAATTTATGATCAGAATTAAACAGAAATATCCAAAAAGTACCTTAACCATATAGTTTTATTGATAGGATATTTTATGATACTTTCATAGTATTTTATTATCATATAACACGAATACACGAGCCTAGAATCAACTAAAAACTCTTGTATTTATTTATATATATATATTAATGTATATATAATATATTACTATACTACTTCAATGAAATTCAACAAAATACTCATATACAATAATGTAAATAGATTAATTATGCTATAGAATACATGCATAAACGGTATATTTTACAGTAGAACTTCATGACTATCAAAATTCATAATTTGATAATATTATTACTAAGATAAATTCTTTCTCAATACTTACATGTAAACTACAATTTATTTGAAGTCCAAAAGGAACCCCATTTGCTACCACTTTTAAAACTCATATATAAACTTGAGTGAGCCGAATACATTATATTAATATACTATTCGGAAGACATAAATTTATTACAATATTACATATTTTAAAACTAGCATTCTCTTTTTGAGACATTGAAAATATTACATTTTTTATTTATATCATCGTATAATTTTACTTAAAATATTTCAGCAATAATGCTTTGCAATTAATTTATTATTGTTTATTTGTCATCAATAAAGATATTTTTTATTATCAGTTACACGTTATTTTTCAATATCAATTTTCGGCATATTTATTTTATAGTTAATATTTTGAAATAAAGTGTTCATTTATTCAATTGTTATTGAAATCGATTATTTTGTATAGTCACTTTTGAGACAAAAATGTTCGTTGTTAATATTATTGAGCAAAATTTAAAATAATTCTGCTAAATCAGTCAGTAAAAAATAATTTTCTATCCCCCATACATGCCATTTTCTGAAAGTCTAAATACTTATATTGGTCTATATTATATCTATTAATACTTAATTCTACAGACTATTGTCTTTACATTCGTATTGTCATACAGAATACTAGATTATTATTATACAATTATTTATATCCATTCACGACTGTTTGAATATTATATATTTACAATAATGCAAATTATACGGAGAGAAATAATGCAATATATACGTAATTACCTAAAAAATGTGACAAATTCAAGGCCACTATATCATGATCAATTATAATTATTTAACCTCCTGCTAGTATTTGATTTCGTGTTATAATTTGTGGTTAAATTGTCATACTGATATCTCATTACAAAATATATATTAAGCATTAAAAGTAAGTGAGTAATATTTTATATATATGAGTATTAATAGAAAGATTATGTTCAATCTCTAAATTCATAATCAATTCGGTAAAAATGTATCTCGAATACTAACAATGGTTAAAAATTGTAACTGGTATACTGTAATTAGTAAAAATTTTGTTACAATATAATCGTCAAAATAGTGAGTAACATATAACATTTTATTCTCGTAATCGTAGTATGACCTTAAAATAATATATGCATATAATTTAAAATATATAATAAATTGATATGATAATCGTGATATATTTTTTTATTAGGCTTAGCACCCTAGTGATCTAAAAACCTTAATGTATTTTATTATTGTATTGTATACCACCCATTTATTTAAATCTACATATATTTACCAGCATAAATTGATATTGGTACATAAATATTATTCGATATATAACTTAATACATGGTTAATAAGAATAAAACAGATATATCTTAAAAAATATAAGACTTTAAAATAAATCGTATGTTGTATTTGAGATAGTTATTACAAGGAAATACCTAATATTTAAAAGTATGTCAGACTAAAATTATAAGTACAATAATCAATTAATTATTATAAATATATTTCATATTACAATCCTCCAATTCTAACAGTAACTGATCAATTCTTTATTGTCTCCATTTACAAATGTAAGGCTGATAATGTTTAACTCTCAAAATACCACAACAATATCAACATCGGATGTACTAATTTACAACCTCAAAATACGTACTTACAAAATTCAACAGCCATGTTTCCACTACCTAGTAGTGTAATATACATATATACTAAAATCGGTATATCAAGTAAAATAGATTTATACAACTAATTTTATTACATTAGCAAGTAAAATGAAAGATAGATGACCTATACCGCATGCATTGTTGTATACGACATTGGGTCGCGGCGGACCAGACGGCCGTACTTTTTGCCGCTCAGTCCTTTGGGCGTACTCATTGTGACTATTATTTGCGGGGCTGTACGCATTTATATTGTAGAAATTGAATGCGTTGTTGAGTTCAGCTTGGCGCAGGTCTGCATCGAGGGCGTTCTGGTTGATGCGCTCGTGTGGCTTCTTAAGGTGTCGCTTTGGCGCGCGAGTCGTGGTTGAAGTTGTTGTCGTTGCTTCAGTTGTTGTTGTGGTTGTTGTTGTTGTCGTTGTCGTCGTAGTGCGTTGTGGTGTCTCTGTTGAAGATAGAATGAATTCCACTTTATTATTTTTTTTTCACTTATTATAATATAAATTAGGTAAATCATCATTAACTGATATGAAACTAATTAAAAACCTCCTTGTTATAAATTGGTTATTAAATTCAATACTCATTGTAGTTCAGTATTAATTACCATAATTATCAATTACAACCAATGTGCAATGGCGTGCTCGGGATGAGAAATGCCAAATTGCGCTTACAAATGATTAAATCATTTTTTTATTTTCGATTCGTGAAACATTAATAACTAAATTGAAATTCGCATGATGGTAAGATATGCTTTTATATTACAACATATATATGTGGTAGTATCATAAAGGAAGGACAAAAATAGTTACAAAATGGCCTATACACGACACTAAAACTAGGGGCAGTATCAAAGCACTGGTGGTAAGGTTACAATCGGACCGGCTAGCACATTATGTAAAATCGACCCCGATTTCACAACATACAAAGCGATGCAGGAAGCGATCCAGGTCGCTCCCTGCCACTGCTTCTCTACTACCTCAGATTTTAGTATTGTGTATACGCCATTAGTGCAATAGCCATAAATTCATTATAATACCCTTAATTTGCATTACTGTCGCATTCACTGTGCTATTAATTATATAATCAATATATATGGATGAGGAGGTATTAATAGTAAGGTGGAAATCATGGATGTATTTACACCTATCGAGTTATATATCTTTTAACGCTACTACCTAATTCGAAGAGAAAATGAGCCAGAGTAATTACCAGACCTCCATCTCTTTCTACTCCGATAAACAATTAATCAAATTAGGAATCCACTACTTATCAACTGATAGCAATATGTATTTTGGAATAAGAAATTAATAACAAATTGTTGATGTTTTCATCATATAACAGAGAATAAAAATATTGAAAACGATTGAAATTAAATAGAAAATATTGGTATTCATTATACCGTATGTTTCGCCTATAACTCTGGATAGAGAATAATAAAAATAATATCCATAAACTAACTGCAAACTATTATCGTACATAAATTTTAATACATTAGTAATTCATATATATTTTTTTAAACGTAGCACTTTAAAGTTTTCGGTAGTAATATAGATATAATTCATATTTGTTATGTTAAATTTGATGCAAAAGAATAGGTATAACTAATAAATTTTGTGTCAGATGTATTTTTCTCTAAAAAAACTAAAACAGAGAACATGCTTTATGCATTATTTACACCACACACAAAATTAACAAAAAAATTATATATATCAAAAATAAGCACCATCCAATGTAATGTAAATGCCTAAACGCAATAATTCACATGCCATTAGAAAATTATGACATAAACGAATATATATTTAAAAAATTGCATGTATGTTTATGCTTACCTTTTAATGTAATAATGCCTTCAGTTTTTCCATAAGCATTGAGGGCCGAACACGCGTAGTCACCAAAGTCGATCTTCCTCAGCCGGTTTATGGTCAAATTCATTCGTAATGAATATTCATTTATTATTTGTTCTGATATAGCGTACTTCGCACTATCTAGTAGTTTTCCACCTAGGACAAAACAAAACATTTTCGGTAAGATATTGCAGTTGTTTGAAACCTCCAATTGACTTGTTAGAATGTCACCGCTGGATTTAGAAATGCAACCCTTAAATATCTATTAGTTAATAGACATTTCAGGGTTACACTTCTAAATCCAAGGTTACATTTATAAAATATTTACGATATCCTACAGGAACAGTAGGTAGATAAAGTCACGCAAAACAGTTACTGTTGAATATTTCTTATTAGATACATAAAAATATTTTATTATAATTATTAAAACTAACTCAAAATAAAACTCTATATTATCTAGAGAAGTAAACATATTTATAATTATTTCACGTTAATAATTACTCTCCAGTAATTAGGATTTAGAATTGTCTATGAAACGATAACGTGGACAACCAAGTGTTTATTTGTGTAATGCATATAATATGTATACGTCTCTGTATGTATATCTCTGCACTTCCCACAGGTTGACTGAGAGAAAAAGATATAGCAATAAGTGCACCTTTTGCTGCATTTTTTTATTAATCTTTAGAGCAAATAAATGAATATTTAATACATTGTTAATAATACGTTGTGTAGAAACAGAATGTTGAAGTAATTAACCATTGAAACTTACCGGCTTGTGACTTCTCCCGCTGCCAAGTGTTCAGGGACTTTGGTGACGCCTCAACATAGCATATCAAGCTAACTTGCATATCAATTGATCGCAGCACTACTGGACTATCCACTTTTATTATCGGCTCGACTAAAATCAAATGACGATTATCACCACTGGAGTTTTAGGCAAGACACATGTGTATACAAAAAAGGAATATTCTGTCTGAGAAACGTTAACTATAAATTAGGCCAACTCAATTAACTTAACACAAGTCTTGTCCAAAAGTTTCGTTAAGGATCGGAGTTGGATAGGTACTTTGTTTCTCGACGCCTCACAAAATTACTTCTGAATAAATTCGTCGCAAGATTTAAGTATTAGATTCCCCCAAAGCTTCGAGTCAACGACGTATGGCTGCCCCTGTTTTGATTACGCAGTGACAACTGACAAAGGTTTTAAAGTCTCCAAAAGGAAATTTCAATTTAACAAAATTTAATTCAAAAATAATGCATTATTTAAAAGCTTTATAAAACAAAATTTAACTTATAATTTTTAGAAATCGAATATGTATATTCCAAATATATCTGTATAAGTTGAATTTTTAAGTACATTTATAGCATTATACATGCGCTGTTCATGTAAACGTGTAAAAAGGTATCCTATTTGTTAATCTAGGCTATAATACAAAGCATCCATGTATCGAATTTTATTCAAATTCGTCCGTTAGTTAGTTGTGAAAGAGTTCACACATTACACAATGGTAGTAAAATTTTCTGTTACTTTAACTAATTTACGTATATTATAATATAATAATGATAATAAGCTCAAATATTCAAATATCTTGAATGTTAATGCTGTGGTTAGATTAATTATACTTACAAAGTACAGACACCTCGTATCGTCGACTCTTTGTGGGCGGTATACCATTTGCCGCGATGCACAGGTATGTCCCCATATCGGTACGCTGTAGACCCTTCAATGACAAAGTCGACCCCACGTAGCTGTCCACAACTAGTAAGTAGACAGAAATAATTTTTACATAGAATAAAACAAAGTCGCCGACGTTGTCTGTTTGCTTGTATCTTTTAAATTACACAACTGATTGTAATGCAGTTTTTAGCAAAAGATAGAAGGATTCAAAAGAAGGTTTATATGTATAATATTATTTATTGGGGTGTTGGAATATTAGTTATTGTTCAATTTGTCGGCTTGTTCTATACTATAACGTCGCATTATAGTATAGAACAAGTCGAGAAATTCAAAGATTTATAATACATTAATTAAATTGAAATGACATAACTGCAATTCAAGTGAAACTTTATAATGTTATGTGAGCTGCATTCCCCAATAAATAATATACATAATTTGATTTCTATAGAAAATAAAGTTACAAAGGAAGTTAATAAATAGATATAAACATAGAAACTAATATTTACGCAGACGAAAGCAATCTAACTAAATATTCAAATAATTTTTGATAGACTGCAAATGATAATTAATCGCTGGCTAAACTGAGAATTAATCAAAGAGTAACTGAGTTATGGTTTCTTGAACAAATTATGGCTCGTTACTGTATTAAACTCGAATAAAGATGTTGTCCTGTTAATTTTATAAAATATTTACATATTTTTTATAAACTGAAGATAAGATTTGGTATCAATATTTCTGTTGAACGTAATATATAAAAGATCTTAGCATATTGATTATGTTCTTAGTTATATATATATATTAGCTACTTAATTGTACCTTCTTTAAATTTTTAATGCGATTATATTATAAAATACAATATATATGATAAATTATGACTTAAAAACTAAATTATGTACTCAAATTAATATAATATACTTTATATATAACTAATTAATTTGAATAACCGTGTTACAAAACTATCACCATTTCTTTTCATTTTTCGCATTATGTACTGAGGTCGACGCAGTAGATATATATCATATATCTTGTAACAAAAGTAATTAATACAATAATGATAAAACTTAGAATTGTTTTGTAAATTAATATTTTTTTTTATTGGAATAACTCAAACACCTTATACTGTTCCTTTTAGGGTATTAATCTGTAAGAAAATAGACTCCAATGAAATTTTCATACATCATATAGTAATTTGAAATACATAAAGGCTGACAGGCGAACATATAGAGAAGTAAATATATGGCACTAACAAATAGTGACATTATTTAGAAAGTTAGCAAGCAGCAGTTAGCAGTTAAGCTAGCTTCCTAAAAAGCGAAAGCACCATGCAGCTCGCATAGTGTTTTTTAATTATTAATGTTTCTAAGGACTGTATATATTTTATATTATATTTTTAGTTACAAGAGAAACTACGGTCGCTGATGGTAAAAGACATATATTTCAAATTGACAAATAATAGAACAATAGAAAATGTATTTTAAAATATATATAAATAATACAATAAAAGTCTAAGAAGGTGCGTCGTGCACAGTGTTAGTGTTTGATGTTACAATGGCTAATAAAAATGCCACTAAGAAGAAAAAAAATGTACTCTATACAGGTGTATTATGTAAACATTTATTAAGACACGTATTAAGGCTTAGAGAACGTCCCATAACAGTAGTTAAAAGTTTAAACAATGTTGTTACGGCTTTAGATGTTACAACGTGTTTATCCAAGTTCTAAAACTATTCGCAGATGCATAATTACATTAGCTTACTAGAACAGTGCTATTTCATAGTTGATATCGCTCCCATGTGAACACTAACCGCTCAAGTCTACTTGCTTAATAAATTAATACCAGCATCACTAATTACAACGCAGTACTTTAATCAAAACATTGTGCTAGCAATGCGCCATTTAGCGCTGTCAAATTAAATTTAAATGGTAATAATTTATTACTTTATTATAGCACACGACCCCCTGCTCCTAAATCTCAGGCGGAGACATAAAATACTGCTAGTACGTAGCGCGTAATATCAAAAGCGGGTCTTGTATGAAATTGTGTTTTATTAACGGGTTATAAAGTCGGGTAGCGACATGTCGTTGCCAACTTGTTACCGACGTCGACGTCGGCAGCGATTCAGCCATTCGCCGTTATTATTGCTCGCGAACTAATTGTTTTCCGATTTAATCCTGAACAATTTTCCTTGGTAAGCACAGTTTATTTTTATAATTAACTGAAGTAACAATTTCGAAATCAATTAGTACGAATTCGTTAATTAATTATTTTACGCTTGAATGATTATTATTAATGAAGGTAAATGTAAGTTTAGCTTCATTTATTAGTTATTTAATGGAACGGTTAAATATATTTATTTTAAATATTTTACGTTATATAACATTCTATATTTATATTGAATTTACGACTATAATAATAAAAATCTGATTAAATATAATATTTAGACTAATAGATACTATTAATTCTTGTACTATATAATTACTTATACAAATTATAGTTTATCGCATACATTTCTAGTTTACTACATGCTGCTCAGTTATTCTCAATTATGACGAACTTTACTGTTATTCCGTAAATTTGGCATGCAACAAAGTCTATATTATGTCTACTTAATCTCTTTACTCCTTGACCTATTTTGCTCTGTTTATACTTATTAAGCATATAGTAATAACTAAATTACTTTTTTATTTCCGGTATTTCAAAAGTCACTCTATCATATCAAATGTTTTTTAATTACATCCTAAATTATAATACTTTATTTCTATATATTACACAAGGATATCCTAAAAAACTTTATACTTTTCATTAAGTTAATATTACCCTTTATTAAATAATTATGTGACAAATTCACCATAATAAGTAAGTCAGTTAATTAACTCGGCTAACGCCAGTGATTCCAGTAATATTCCTTCCCTTCTCACTCCGCTAGATAACTAATTAACTAATCACGTAAGCATTTATGGGTATGTAATATATACTACGAGCTTTCATACATTGTTAACTTAACATACGTTTTATAGACTGATCTCTTAATAAATATTTTTTACGAGATATTTTCATTATTTTGTTGAAACAGTGCATGCAGTGAGTATTGTTATTACATTATTTTATTTAGAAAAATGGCGTCAGATTTTTATATCCCCATTCTATAAGTTGTGTAAGTACCTCAATGTCACTACCTTCTGGTGAAAAGAAGCTCTCTTTGTAAGCAGTGTTTCGGTTTTAGGGTGCAATTAGGTAGAGAAATTACAGGATAAGAGGCACTATCACGGGTTTCACATGATAATGAAATGTCCGTAATACTATTCTTGTATATAGGCGAGGCTTGCTTGCTAATCTAATTACATAAAAAAATCTCTTAACTTATGAACTTGAAGAACATGTTTTTATAATATACATTAAATAAATTATATCACTTTTATATGTCTCAGTATAAAATTAATGATAGAATTTAAAATGGTATGATAATTTTTAGAAAATAAATTAAACCGCCGATAGGGAAAACCAAATGCTATAGAGTTCTATTTTTCTCAAACAATTGATTCCTCTATTACAAGCACTTGTTTCCTGAATATAAAAAACTTAATTTCTCCATCAGATCGTACTTTATCTGATCATAATACGTCCATGTATAATCTCACTCTGCGTCTGCATCTTATTTACATCGTTTATCTATTTAATTAAACTGGAATTAGCAAATCAATGTTTATAATTCAGCTTTACTAGCTCGATAAGAGAATTCTTTTTCCTCTTCGATACATACAAAAAAGGAGGAATGGTTCAATACTGAGTAACGTAGTAAATCTTTCTCATTTAGTGAAGCGTGTATAACATGTCCAATTAATACAAAGCCAGAGCCGTGCTAGCCCCACCACTCTGTTAACTATTACAACCTCCCTCGCAACAGAAGCCCACCAGTCTTTTGTTTACGCTTAATGGCTTAAATAAAACGGGTCAAATTCGTAAAACAACGCTCTGAAAAGGTTTTAAATAGCCCTTTGGGACAAGCAATTTCGTTGCTAATACATATATATTAAGGTATAAATTAGAATGTGGGATTACATACGATTAAAAGGACAACAGTGTGCATGTGTTAAAACGACTAGTGCTATAATTGCTTTAAACTCTTGTCTCTTCACCTACTGTTTCTGCTGGACCTGTGAAGGGTAGGTCATTATAACTATAGTAGATAAGAACCTTTTGTTAGGCCGATTTCCACTAAGCCGTTCGTTTAATTTCCTGGCCGAAACCCGGATTGCTACAATATTTTGTTTAAGTAGTAATTGAGTTCTTTGAACACGTTTTTTCCACGGAAATGAATCCCGGCGATGACTGGGGCCCGTTTACTTTTGTAATGTAAAAATGTTGACAGCGCTTTCCACCGAGCGGTGCAGAATAAAAGAAAATAAATGTCTAAGTGGTCATTGAAGCATAACTCCGAAAAAATAAATAATGTTATTACTAGAATAATAAATAATCTTCTATACACTTCAATTGTTAAGATAAGATAATGATAAGAATATATCTAGATATATTATGATCATTATCTTATCTTAACTACTACCATTTTTTGCCTTTCTGGGTTAAACTAAGAGGACCAACATTCAAGTCACTTCAAAACAAATACATATTTAATTGTATGAAACATGCAAATTGTGTTTTCATTTATATGAAACAGATGTACATATATCTGTTTTATATATATACCATGTTTTCCAGTACTTAGGCCTAAGAATATTACGAGTTGTTTTCTTATTTCAAAATCTAAATTAGACAGGTTAAATGAAAACAAAGAAAGTTCTTAGTATTGAATAGAAGGCATAAAAGCCAACTTATTCCTAGAACAAATATCTTGTAGTCTCAATTTAGAGAGAGATCATCAAAACTATTTTTAATTTATTGACTACAATTTAAAATATTAATCCTGTATATTAAAATATCATAATAACTCCCTGTACCTCAACTGTAATATTGTGTGGACTACTGTAGCGTCGTCGTATTATTGACAGCCTTATCATTTCACCATCTTTACTAAGCCACGGATATAAATTATAATAAAAATAATAATCAATAATCCGATAACTGGCGGAGAAAATTATGAGATTCGTATTTCAAGTACTAATTAAGCCTACTAAGTTATTAGTTTTTAAATACCCGTCAGTCAACAATGATAAATAAATAGTTATAAACAGAGTCAGTTGAACTGTCTGAATCTATAATTTCAATTCTTATTTTACTAAATTATACGGCTATTAAATTGTAATGTTAAAATCGCTGTATACGTGTTTAATCTTATTTATAATTTTTATTCATTTTGATAATCTTATGACGGCACTCTCTTCTAATGACATGTTTCAAAATATAAATAATAATTCTATGCTTTATTTTTATACATGTGTTATTTTGGTTGTATTCGTGTAAAACCGTTTATATATATAGACTTCAAAGCAAGTGCAAAGCCTACAATGAACAAGGACTTGTATAACAAACAAGAAAATTACATTTAAGATTCTTAAAAAGAATTCACGTTCAGTATAAGTAGAAAACCTAACAAATGAATATCTAATTTAAACGCAGAGATAATAACGTCGCATAAAATGCTTTACTCACTCCATTTAATCATTATTCAGCCGTCATTCGTTTAGGTCGTTGTACATTTATTTCGAATTTCGAGTTTTCTTTCCAATATCTTAGGGCGATATCTTATTAAATCCCATAAAACTCCAATGTTTTAACCGCGCAGGCACCTGCGCCCGCTCTGGGCGGGCTTTGAATGCAAAATTAGTCTTGTTTCTTTTTTACCACTTAGTTGGATCTCAATGCGAATAAAATTCAAAGGAAAATTGACGTTTTATGTCCTGCTTTTTATATGCTTTCATTGCAAACGTTTTCAGAGCGACCACAATAAGTAATAACAGTACGGAAATAAAATTGACAATCAGAACAAATGCGATTAGGTACAGTCGTCCTCGTAGCTACCAGAATTATTAAAATTAATCTAAATCAAATATATCTATGTATAAATTGAATACAGAATTTAAACTCAAGTCATTTTTTATTTTACTTTTATAGTAATGTACTCAGACAGGTAAGCTATAAATGTCGTCTTTGGAAAAAAACTCATTGCAACCCTAGGACGATAATAGGTTATGGATATTATGATGACATCATAAAACGACCCATTTTAATAATTACTAAATTACATAGAAATTGTAATAGACCTGGCGGTTCATCTGTTTCGAAATAATAAGATGTATTGTTACGTATTCTTCATATTAATTAAAATAAGAGTAAACTATTCTTATATAACATAATATATTGTATTACTTATATATTCTAAACTATTTTTTAGATTTTACTTAAGTTTTTTACTACTACTTTCTGCCTTTCTATGCAGTTATATTTTTTTCTATATGACTGAGCGTGATCTACGGTCATGTCTGTGCGATATGTAAACTAACATTCGTTTTTTAAATTCTATTGATATCATCGACAGGACAGGTTGGGAAAAAGAGAGAAAAAATAAAAAAATACGCATTTACACATAACAAATATTAGTGAAGTAAATACACAGATAGATTGTTTAGTTCAGTTATTGTAGTTCTAAGCAAATGATAAACTTTTTAAATATTACTTTCACTGTACCTTTAGTTTCTTTCCCATTACTGTCACGAAATATGATGTTTCGTCCTTCAGTTCTCCTCCAAGATATAATAGGGAGCGGGACTCCAGTAGCAGTGCAGCGAAGTTCCACTGATCCACCTTCGGGTGCACTAGCCTCTGAGCCATCCTCGTCAGCAATATCTGGTGGGATTACTACAGAAAGGTAACCCATCTGAGAACAAAATTAATGTCAATAAATCAGAAGGTGTCGCAATATACTTTTATTGTACAATTATAGGTATATATCTCTCTCTTTATAATTACTGCCAGTAATAATACTACATTATTACTTTATGATATTATTATTCTTCAGAATATCGTAATAGCGAACTAGTGTAAAACAATGGTAATGGGATAACAATAAGCTGATATCCTACTCTCATGGAGAGAGACCCAGAAACCTGCATTACGATGTTAAATGTACCTACGTTAAGAAATGTAATTAGTTTTACTTTACTTGAGGAGAACAAGTCGAAAGACGCAGAGATAACTATCGAGGGTGACGATCACTTGGTTTAATTTCAAATAACTTGAAATTTTTGAACACCGCTTTGTGCCAAATAGTTAAGAGATACAAATAAAATGTTTCTGTGTTCAGAATTCCAGCCATATGTAGAATCGTATAAGAAACCGCGATAGATGAAAAGGTCGTAGAGCAAAAATATGCAAATATACTATATATTATCTATTTTATACATAATTTTATTTTTGTGTAAAATACAAAAAATACAACCCACGCATGAAATCACGGGGCTTCCTTATAGTAATTATAAAGTGTAATACCTGCGTACCTACCATAAAGGCTTTACGAAGGCTCTAATTTAATTAATGTTAGATATTGATTTCATGTAAATTCATAACAATTTATAATAACGTTATGATTTTACTTGTAATTAGGCCAGGTTCCTGATACTCTGTTACAAGTTAATTCTTACGACCCTCTCAATTTGTGTAGTACCTACCTACGTAAACAATTTTCATTTATATTGAAACAAACGAAATACAAGTCGAACGACATGGTCGCAAATACAAATAAATATAAGAAAATAGGTATTTTAAACATTATTTATACTAATATAACAAAATGAGAAATCCTATTTTATTATGAGGAAAGTGAACTTTGAAACTATTACATCAATTTAATATATCTTTCACCGTTTACGTAAATTATTCCAAACTGACATATGACATATATTATCATACATATGAAAATTACAAAGTTATGAATAGGCAGTCGAAACCGGGGCGGACTACTAATGTGACATACAATATCGGTATTAAAATCTGATAAAATAATATATCATCATCATATCCACCCATCATCATAATCCCACAGTTTTTTTCATAAGAAGATCATTTTTGTCATCTGACTAATAATAATATGTGATATTATTCTTAGTCAGATGGCTTGGTATAGTGTTTTCTTTTTCGTAAACAGATGCAATTGCATTCGTGATCAGTTTCTTTATTAATTATGTCAATTTGGGAATGTAAAGAAATGGCACTATATTTTTATACTGTTAACTATAATATATATAACCTATAATATGTTAACTATAATACAATTTTTATATAAACTATAATACAATTTTTTTAAGTCCTTTAACTTTCTTCTATCAACCAATAAAGACTAAAGTCCTTTTAACGTAATAAATTGCGAAATACAGTTTCTTTATGACTTCTACGTTATTTGAAATATTGAAATTAAATTAATTTATATTTTAATATCAATAATAATCTTTAATATTGAATTAACTATCTAATCTGGAACGAAATAATATCCTCCGTTTACATTTTTGATAAACCGTGAGTATGTTACTCCTTCAGTTTTCAAATAATACACCAATTTCAGATCAAGGAGATAGTAACGTTATACGAGTATACGTTAAAGTTGAAATTGTAATAATGCCGGTGGTGGCACTCGTAGAAGCAATTATTTTTATAGGTACGAACAATATCATTGAAATTTCAATTTTGGCGTTACGATTATGGTTCTTATTAATTCGGTAATGCGACTATATTACATTTGTAGATGCTTACCAATTTCTATTGATACAAAAAAATAATACAAACTGAAATGAGTCCGTAAGTTTAATGTTCAGACGTATTTGAAAGTAGCTAATTTTGAAAACATTTGATTTTTAATACATTAATCCCCTAGGTGAAGGTTTTATTATAGGCAGTAAATATTATAATTAGATACATAAACTCCTAGGCGTCGGTGGTCTAGCGGTTTAGCACACCTTTACTTCCTATGGTCGCGGTTTCGATTTCTAGCACGGTACAAACATTTATATATGAGTATGATTGTTTGTATTGATATGGATAGTATTTGCTAAGAAAAAAAAGTATAAATGTACTCATAAAACATACTCTGATTAACTTGGGACTAGTCTGGGAAGGAAGGAAGAATAAAAATAAAAGAAAATACAATTAGATATTGTATTATATTATTATGATTATCGATGATGGCTCCCCTTCACAAGAGAGACATTTTCAAAGAAGACAGGTTGCAAACAATGCCTCGGTGTTCGACTGGTTTCGTTGGCACGGCTTGTCTGGCTCTCATCGTAAATGTATGGCCAGGATAAATATATAGTGTTGTTAACTATTGATCAGATAGAAACGGTACTTGTGACTACTAGTCTTAAATTATAACGTACTGTATCATTCAAACTGATAAACGATTCCTATGTAGGTTTAATATGTATATCTGTAGGCACCCATAAAAGTGGTCGTTTAAAAGTAAAAAAAATGCTTTGAGTCTATTATGGATTTTAGAGTAACACGAAGAGAATGCCCATTACTGTAGGTACTCCAGGGAAACAAAGTTAATGCCATCCCTAAAACTAATTTACTCGCAGTAATCTGTTAATAAAGTGGAGATATATAATTCTAAGCGACCTTATAAATTGGAATCAAGCAGTTTAGATAATGAAATGTCTAAAATACGTAACGTTTACATTTAGGTACGACTTTGTACTTCTGTTGTGTTAAAATTCTAAAGACTCTATAATAAGTCTAATATACGTATAAATTAAATTATAGTCATTGTCATACATAATTGAATATAATATACATATTTTAAGTTCGATGTTTAGGTGTAACAGAGAACTCAATTTTTAATTAAGGTGTATCACCTTGTGGGCATTGTAAACATCGATAACAAACTAATTTAATTCAAAACGCAGCGACCAGGTTGTACTTACAATATATGTTATTTATATTATAAATTCTGATACTGACGTAACTATTTTTATACGATATAATGTGTAGTAATAACCAAGACATTATTTGTAAATTTATTTGCTCTTCATTTTGAATACTGTCTAGGGACTAATAAATAAATCTTCGAACATGTGTATTTAGAACACCTTCACCCCTGAATAACCCCACCTGGCACCGTATTAAGGAATTGCCCATACATGTGATAATTAAGGAACCCACATCGATTAGTCTGACACGGGGTTACGAACGGAATCTGATAGTTTATATAAGTCCATGTGTCACTCAATCTAATAATAAAGGTCCTTTAATGTTATATGACGATGTATGTATAATGCTCTAACAGAATTGTGCGGGCGACTTTGACAAAATTCCTCGGACGTTTGACAGGACAAACTCCAGGTATTTTGGGTGGAGGTAATAAAAATCGCCATTTAGATTTTTTTGTGGAGTATTTTTCGCAAGTTAGAACGTCCTTATGTATTCATTTCTATATTCTATTACATATACTTCTATATTAAAAAATATTGGACCACAAAGTTCGTACCTTCTGCTGTACTACAGACAATTCATATTATATTTTGTGTTACGTTGTTTATTATAAAAATTCCGGGTACCATATTCTTTATAAAGATGTCAGTTAAAATAGGCATGGTAGTTTTAAGCTAATTTGGCATATTTAATTACTTAGTAATAAGTATTAGGGTTTTAATAAGTATTTAAATTTCAGGTTACTATTATATTAACCTTATCTCACTAAACATACAAGTGTTAATAAACTTACAATTTGAACTCTAACTACAGTTTATGAAATAAAATATACACATCGACAAGTCAGTATTATAAAAAAAGAAATATTATATTTTACACAAATATATATTGTCCAAACTCTAATTAGAAGTAAGAAGGAGAAAGAAGAATTGTGGATTATCAATATTGTTGCGAATAACTTTTCATGTACAATCACCTTTCGAGTATAATTACAATTTTATATAACTAAAATAATAAATAAACAATCACTGACTTAGTAATGCATTACCAAATTATTATAATAGATAACAGACGCAATAAATATTTAGTTATGTAGAAAATGTTAAAAGCAAAGGAATGTAATGGAAGCTACCAGGTATTGTTCGCATTTGCGAGCAAAGAAGAAACCTTGCGAATTTACGTGACACGGCACGGACTTTGACAAAATTCCTTGCGAGCGAGGCCAGCGGACACTGGCCATGTCGCATACCTCATGCAAACATGCACAAGTTATAATTTAAAGTCTGCGCGGTATTAAACTTTGTATTGTGAATAAAATATGTGCGAGAGGCAACATTTCAGTGATATTTTAGCGCAAAAGAGATAAACCAAGCCATTTCTTATTTCCGACTTTTCTGCAGTGTAAATTGTTAAACAGACAGTTTCATGTCATATAAATTATTTAAATTTTTCCTCTTGGGTACAAAACCGAGTGAATTACAGATTTACATTCAGAAAGACCACGAATGCCGGCTAGGGTAGGTCATAATCACAGCATTTTATTTAATTTATATTCTGACTTATGGCAGAAATATTGTGTCTCATGATAATTCTCTCTTTTTTACTCTACAATCGAGAACTACACGTGAAACAGAGCTTTTATTCATTCACAAGTTACGGTATGCTTGTTTTATGTATTTTTTAATTGTATAAAATATAGTTTTCAAAACTGAGCTATAAATACTCTTAAGTATGTCTTTTTAAATATCGCGTTTTTCTTTCTTCTCTGAGTCATATTTCAGCTAAATTTTAATATTTATCTTCTAATAAAAAAAATATTATAGCGACTGTATTATTATAAAAAGTTCTGATATTGAAATTATATTCTAATAAGTATAGAACTAAAAATAATGTGCGGGTTGTATTAATTCTTTACATTATTGTGTATTATTGTATATATAAAATGAAAAATCACTG